TTTTTATACTGTTTTAAGAATTAATTTTTTCCGGATCTAGACATTCATGAAATAGTTCTTCCTTGAAAACCAAGTAGTTTCTACACTCAGTCTATCCTATATTCAATTAATTCAACATAAACAACTCGTTTTATTCAAAATGAATGAATCAGTTGACTTAAATGTATCACTGGAAGTGAACAAAGGATTGAATGAATAATACGACAAACCGTCCTGGGCGTCCATTTTGGTTAGTAAAAACTGACTAGTAGTCCTATTTCAAGGGTAAAGGTTCCACTCCGTCGTAAAGCTTAATTGTTATCTTCCTTCCCCCTTTTCGCGGGTGTAATCTCGGTTAAAACACCACTAAATGGTTGACAGATTAGACTATTTCCGACTATACTTACAGAGCAATGATGTTCGGTCATGGGAAGGGGGTATTAGAAAAACCTTTGCAAAAATAAAGATACGGAAATTGCAACATTTGTAACAGTTATCAAAACTAGCAGGAAAAATAAAGGTCACCTAAAAAATCCACTAGTAATTTTTTATAGTCTGCTACTTTAGATAATTCAATGCAATTTCATTTCCCTAAATAATAACCAAGGCAACAAGAGCAGGTGTTCCCTAAGGCATGGCAACAATTGCTGCGGGGGGGGGGGGAATAGTCGGAACTTCTAATTTGCTAAAATCCCTAAAAATGGAAGAGTTACTCAGTACAGTATAGTGATTACGACACATGTTGCGACTGTAAATAAGTAGAGGCTCACCATGATCCTGAAATGCTTATTTTAAAGTAACATTACGTTACGCTATCACAGAATGCTGTGATAGCGTAACGTAATGTGATGCGAAAATGAGATGACTGTATTATAAATGTCTCTAATATTAATTTAGTCAGTATTGGACAAAATAATTGAATTCTAGGACAGATTAGTTGATCTCGTAGCCAGTGATTATTGTATTATTATTGCATTTACAATTTACTTAGCGTGTGCAAGATATTTTTATGCTAGGATTATCTGTAAGCTGAATAATATTTCTGGAAATTATTCGAAACTTACAATTTAATAAATGCCGAGGAAAAGCAAGGCACATATAAATACAATACCAAGATAACTACTAAAGAACGAATGGACTTTTCCCTGCTGCTGCAATGCTCTGGCACATTAAAAGCAGTGATCAAGCGCTTTGATGGTCCCATCAGCGGCCCAGCGGTAAAGTCCCTGAACACTGGCAGTTCGGTTCGAGGTTCGAATTCCGCGAACGGGCTGGCAGCATGGGCGTTTTCATGGTTCTTCTCACGTGTTAATACGAGTCAGTTTCTCTTAGAAAGTCCTCCACGAAGGCATCCCTCCCTTCCTTGTAGTGCCTTAGAGCGGAACACGTAAATAATAATAATTAATAAGCCTTTTGATGCAAATTATATTTTTGTACAAAAAAAAATGAGTTATGAGTTGCTCTTCAATACAAACTGAAATGCATCGATGCAATGAAAATCTTGTTTATGTTTTTGAATATTATACTATACATTTTCCTGAAGATGTCCTTGACAACAACTATCGAAAATTAAAATAGACCAAGTAGCGGCCGAGTGGTAAAGTTGCTGAACACTGATAGTTCCGTCCAGGATTCGAATCCCGGCGCACGGTCGGACTGCATGGCGTTTTCATGTTTTTTCCCATGTGTAACGTGTATAGATCCAATTTCCCTTAGAGAATTCTCTACGAAGACATCCCTCTTGTTAGGTGATAGACCTCGCGTACTTTCTCATAATCCAAATCACGTACTTTTTCATAACGAAGCCAAACCAAATATTAAATACCTCGGCAACAACATTTTGAGTAAGTATGATCGTAGACGAATAATGGGACGACGCCACGTAGCTGGGCAAAAGTGTTACTGAAGTTACTTGTAACAGGGAAAAAGTATTACTGAAGTTACTCGTAACAAGGGAAAAAATACTACGGAAATTATTCATAACAGGGAAAAAGTATTACAGAAGTTACTCGTAACAAGGAAAAAATATTAACGGAAATTATTCATAACAGGAAAAAAGTATTACCGAAGTCACTCGTAATAAGGAAGAAATATTACGGAACTTATTCATACAGGGAAAATGTATTACTGAAGTTACTCGTAACAAGGAAAAAATATTACGGAAATTATTCATAACAGGGAAAAAGTATTACTGAAGTTACTCGTATCAGGGAAAAGTATTATTGACTGCTGTGGGGTATCTCAAATAACATCATCTCGCGACTGAAAGAAGTCACTTAACTCAGAGGAACTCATCTGTGCATTCTTGGTAGTAGTATAAGTACAACAGCAGTGAGATTTCCACCATGTTTTTGCTTTACGGAAATACGAGTGTCATACGGAATGGTTTTACGCACAGCTAAATATTACAAATAAACTTGCCAAATTTTAGGTGTGTTCAAAGCGATTAAAAATATGCTTTTGCTGCTTCATCAATCTCGTCCTCGGAATGAAAACGTCTGCCACGTTAATTTCGTTTTAGAATAAAAACCAACCAAACGTCACACATAGCAAATGGTGCATGGATGTTCTACCAATGCTGTTTAAATGTGTATTTGTTCCAGAAATTTGACTACTAGTCTTGCTGAAGAAATTAATGCATTATTTGAGGAAGCATGAATCTCCTAATATTCCTTTCTTGAAGAATTTCTGTAATGTACTTAGTAATGCTGTAACTGTGTTTTATTCCTCAAACTTGATAAGAACTTGATGTGAAGAACACGGCATACATTACTTTTTACACAGCTCGTTGTCCTTACACCATTGATGGTTTGCAGTCATCTTTAAAGACTTATGTAACTAGAACTTTACGTACTAGAACTTCAAAAAATGGCAAGTTTCATCACCAGTTATGATTTTAGGAATAATGCGGTGCCCATCATCATTAAGTAATTTTAGGATTTCTTTACTGATTCTGACACGCAACGTTTTTTGGTGTTCTCTCAAGGTATCAGAGACCTAACTATATACTAATTTTTACTTCCTTTTACGAAGTAAACAAGTATTGTAATCGCGAAGTTATCAGATTTCGATGGAAATGTTCATTTTGACCGTTCCAGAAACCATTATAACTATTTTTGCGTGACGTCTATCCGTTTGGCCAGAATAGAGAACTCTTTATTCCAAAACGCATTTTGAAATAGATTGACTGTAGGTCTTTAAGTGACGTCTGTGCATACGTACGTATCTCGCAAAACTCAAAGATCTAAAAAATGACTAAGCATAGAATGCTAAAATTTTGTGCATGGGAATACACACCTCACTTTTTTATTGCAGTCGGCAGTACCAAACATATATATATACACACATACACACCTGCTTACCCAGTCTTTATTTTCGTAATCGTTGGTCGTAGTCATATACACACTTTTGCAAAAAAAAATCGAAGCATGAAGGAAGTTGTTGTTTTTGATGATACTGAATATGTATATAGCTCATACACAGATAATAAAATGATTAAAAAAATCAAGGTCATAGTACCTGTTCACGGCTCACAATCACCCACTGAATGTTCAAATTAGTAGTTGGTCGAACCACCCCTGGCGGCAATGCATGCTTGAATTCGTCGAGGCAAGGAATGGTAGAGGTTTCTAATGCCGTCCTGCATAAATTTCGCCAGGTATTCATCAGTTGTCGCTCTGGATCTGCAATATTTTGTGATGCCCGAATCTGGCGGCTTACCATGTCCCAGACATGCTCGATTGGTGAAAGGTCTGGTGACCTTGCTAGTTAAGGAAGAGTATCAACCGCACGGAGACAGTCCAGAGATATGCGAGTGGTATGTGGCCTGGCATTATCTTGTTGGAAAATGGTCCCAGGATGACGTGCCATGAAGGGTAATGCAACCGGCCGCAAGATTGTATCAACATATCGTTGAGCTGTTAAAGACGTACGGAGGCTGACTAAAGATGACCCGCTGTCATAAGAAATAGAGCCCCACACCATCACACCACGGGTCATGGCTGTATGCCTTTGTAAAACAAAGGCTGACTGAGACCTCTAGCTCCGTGCTCTACAGACACGAACACGGTGGTCATCTGCTTCAAAAGCGAAGCGGGATTCATCGCTGAACACTATAGATGCCAGTCTGATGGCAGCCATGATGATCGGCTGCGACACCAGTCCAGACGACACCGCCGACGCAGTGGAGTCAAAGGCAAAGGTCTTAAAGGCCTCTGTGAGAGTAACCACGCCTCAGAGAAGCGCCGTGTGATGGTAGACGGTACCACAGGAAGTATAGACGTGGCTGTAGTGCGTTGAGTCGACGATGATACCGTTGGGGCGGTTAGGGCCTGGCGAACAATCGTACTATCTTGCCTCGCATTTGCGCTTCTTGGCCTTCCAGAGCCTTCATTTCGTCGGCAATTTCCTTGAATCAACCATTGCTGCCAACATCTTTGCACAGCAGTGCCTGTACGCTGAAGGTGGCGGCCTATTGCTCGGTATAACCAACCAAGGAAGGAAGGAAGGAAGGGAAACAAAAAAAGAGATACAGTCATTTTTATTGCAGCATTCTTAGATATATCAAACATTCGTTTTCTTTATAAAACTGGAAATTTACAGCAGAAAAGTTTCACAAAGAAGAAGGCAAACAATGATACCTGTGCAAATCATTCTTTTACACATAATGTAGCTTAAAAACATCAATAAGAATTTAAAATAATAAAGCAAAATAATTTATTAAATGAAATCACTAAAACAAAAATGCAAGTGAAAATTACAATCCAGTTGCAAAATTCACTTCTAACGAAAGATAAAAGGAAAATTCTTTTCAGTATTTTTAATTATTTTCCTTTGGTAACAAATGTATAAATTAAACAGGAATCTCAAATTAATATGTAAAATTTTGCTAGTAAAGTGCATTTTGCTCAAATTTAATAAAATAGCAACAAACACACACAAAAACACAATTTTTTAAATATATACAACCATAATAATTTTTAGAGCATTTTAAGCAACTTTTCTTTTAAATTTTCAACATTAAAAAAAAAAACAAAAAAAAAAAAAAAAAAAAAGTCAAATGTTAAATTTTTTTGGAATAATTTTACATTTTTATGGTAAATGATAAAATTGCTGTAACTGATAACATGAATATATTCTTCTGTTCAAGCTTTATTTATTGCTACTTTCTCAAATCTCACTTTTGTTTTTATGCAATATTTAACCAACTTTAATTCTAGTATATAAGGAAGATAACCAACGGAAGACAATCAATCAATAAAAATTTATACAATCGCTGAATTTTTCTCAACCAAATATAAAAGTATTTACTATACAAATGATATAAGTATAATTTGGTAACAAAAATTAAATAAAAGTAAGTAGATATGACTGAAATATATATATAGTAACATCAATAAAATGTAAAATGCTAGTTGCCAAGGAAAAATGAAGAGCACACATATATTTATTTGTATAAATTTGTGAAGAATGAACAGCAAATGTAAAGTCTGCACTCAATGAATTCAACCAATTAATTCATCCATTTCACAATAACACAACCAAAGAAAATGCTTTTTATGCATATGGTAGTTAAGAGAAAGCAAATATTCAGCCATTATCTTCTAACATATATTTTTATAGAATTCTTCAAATAACAAATAATAATGCGATAGAAAATATAGCTTTACACTATTCAAAGGAATCCACGGTACTCCTTTTGGTATATCTACAACATATTTAAGTACTAGATAAATGCATTTGAATCACATTTTTAAACCTTATATGGCTTACATTATAATAAATTCCAACATATTGTAGTGAGTTTAAGGTATAAATTAATAAGAGTTAATTTTAAAAAAATTAACTCTAACTGAGGAGAAGAAAAATAACACAGATAAAAAAAGTATAAAGAGAGGCATCTGACAACTATTGCCAAGGCACAATTGTTACATTCAGTTTAAAAAGTCACATGACACATTTACTTAACAATTAATTTTAGAAACAAACATACTGGCCCAACTAAATATTCCACAAAAAATTAAACTTTTTTGTGAGGTACTTATTTAAAAGTTGAAGCATAAAATAAAGCATTAAGCTAGTACCATGCGACCAAATGGGGAAAGATTGGCAGTTTTGCCATTTCCACAAAAGTTTATAATCTACCATTATTTTTTTTTGGCAAATTTGGCACATTATGGATCAACAAATAATATCATGATGTTATGAGTTCCATTTGTAACAGGAAGACCTTCATGGTAGTGAGTGAGGCGTCCAGGATGCATGAGAGACCACCCTAATCTTAATTCTGTCACACTGCAGCTGCAGCGAATAAAACGGCAACCACCTCCCTAAAATATGTGCTAAAATTTAGATAAATTTAAAAGGTAAAAGAATCACATACAAAACGAGTAATTTTCAACTTTGTTTTGGAATCTTTCTCCTCTTCATTTCGAAATTTATTCAAGAACATATAGGTAAATGACTATACAAATGATTTACCACAGAGACATAAAGTTAATATAAAAAATGTATTATTATGTGGATCGTTTTTGCAATATTGCAATTTAACAGGAAATTCTTTCAAATTAAATAAAATAAAAACACTCAATTATGAATTTTTTTATTGACAAGCTTTTATGTCATGATGTAAAGGAAAATAATTTTAATTTTGTATTTTTGATTAATTTTTACACATTTTGCTTAGTTCCTGCATACATATATAGAACTAAATTAAATATTTAGGAGAAGTAAAGAAATTACACATTTTTAATCAAATAATTCTTCTAAAATAGTTAATATCTTACATAGAAGCATTAAATTTGTTATTTCATATGTTTATGTCAAACAGTTAAATGCTCCATCACAAGAAGATCGATTTATGCCATCTAAAAATATTAATTCATTCATATTGACTCATCATAATTAAAATTTAACCCTTCTTCACAGTACAATCCTTTTTATAAATGTATTAAAAATAATCGATGCTTTTTATTTACATCTCCTGGTTTGGGGCTCATTGTGAAGAAACAGACCAATAATAATGGTGTGATCTATTGGTAAAAACATCTGACTTAATGATAAGTTCTTCAACTAGCTTTAACATTTTATATTTTACTCTTAAATAAAGCACAACAATTACTCATGAAATTCTAACTTTAACATACTAAAAGCAGAACTGAGTAATAAAACTTCAAATAAAAAAACTTTAGCCCATTTTATTCTGAAAATCCATATAAGAATGTGTTCTAACTGAAATTTTAGTTAGCAATAAAATTCTATAATATGGATACTTTTAATATTAGAATTAATGAAAAGTAACAGATACCTATTTCTGCATAATAAAGAAAAGGACATTTTGTTTAATTAGCAGTTTTAGTTTTAAATTAAATACATTTGTTACGATCAGTAAGACAAATCCTTGAAATCATCATAGGTCTCTCAACAGAAGGAATGCGTAGAATTACTCAAAATTGAACTTAAATGCAAAAATTTCTTTCCTTTCTTTATTCAATAAAAAATATTCCAGTTTGCCTTTGTCCTGAATATTAGCTATATTGGCCTATGTCTCTCTACAATATACTTCAAATCAAAATGCCTGAATTTAGTCACATGCTATCCAGAAGTGGCTATGTGAAAACTAAAAAAAGGAGTTTAATAATTGAATGCTATTCTCGTATCTAATTTACAACTTAAAAAGACTATCTTCAATAAATGGCAACTCTGAAATGTGAAAAACCAAGAGCTTCCAGGAGATTTTTGTGCAGCTCGGCAAAAGAATTTTAGAAAAATTTTTTTCGGCATTTTAGAAAAACTTTAAATCAACTTATTCAATTTTTAATGCATGATTCGCATTCATGAACTATTATATTTTTTTATATATATCAATATAATATCAATATTTAATCATTTATTTACTCTAATTTTATGTTCTTTGGCTATTTTTTTAATTATCTCACACTTGTATACTGAGAAACCCTGTTTGGGGAAAGAAAGCTTTTATTTATCACTTTTAAATATAATAAAATAAAATTAATAATGTATGACAAAATTAAATACATGTTATTAACTGACTAAGCACAGGTTGAATGTTCATGAAATTACTACAAATGCCCACAGAGGATTAAGACAATTCAGATCAAATAAAATTTAATAAGAAAAATTATTTTGCTAACATAGATTGATTCTGAAAAGTAAGATAATCAATAAAAGACCTATTTTATCAATTATAATCTGCACTGAAGATAGTTTTGTATGGTCTAGTGGTGCCTATAATTACATTTAGAAAAACTTTATATTCATTATAAAAATAAAACACAAAAAGTTTGATTCCCATATGACAAAAAATTGATAGATACATTTAGTTTCATATCACATTCAGGAGTCATATACAAATTGAAGAGCAAAATTTTTGCAATTGTACATAACTAAAACTGAAATATCCATCCAGAAAAAGATTTTGATGTTAATAGATTAAGTGCAGTGGAATGTAGATTGCTGTGAAAAGTATTGATTAATATATATTTTTTCAAAAATGAGATCTTATTCATAGAATCTTATAAAATTCATGAATTCTACAAACTATTAGTAACTATTAGTTTTGTTACTATTGTTGCATAAAACTAACTTTGTAACTATTAGTTACAAAGTAACTATTAGTTGAATAAATTTAAAATGAAGAATATTTCTCATTGTATGTATTCTTTCTACAGATATTAGATTATGATAGATTATTACATAGGTAAAGATAAATCATGCTTCGAATAGTAGAAAGAGGATAGATATATAGACATGCATTATTAATATAAAGGAAAAGAATGTTAAAAAAAAAGGCTGAATACTTATCAATCCACTAAAAAGTCTTAGATTTAATACACTCATATAAAATAAGACAATCCTAAAAATTTCTTAAGTTGGAACACAAAATAAGTTAATACAGTTTGAATTTGATAAATTACTACAAGATTATACTCATGTAAAACCGTATTCAATCATTAAAAACTTCAGATAAACCATCAAACTTAGCAGACATAGATTTGCACATAAGAAAGCAGATAATTTTCAGTTTTGAAAAAGTAATTAGTAATTATTTCAGATTAAAATATAAAATTTCATATATGAAATTCTTCACAATTACTGGATTTTCCTGGATTTTCTTTTAATAAAAATGTTTAAAAAATAGAAGAATAAAATTACACTGTAATTATTAAAAAAAATTTTAGTATGCACTAACTACTTTTAGTTAGTTACCTATTTCTTAGACCCACCAGTAGCTGAGTGGTAAAGTCGCTGAACACTAGTAGTTCGGTCCGAGGTTCGAATCCCACAAACGGGCTGGCTGCATGGGCGTTTTCGTGGTTTTCCCCATGTGTAACGTGTATACGAGACAGTTTCCTCCATGAAGGAATCTCTCCCCTTAGGCAGATAGCCCTCGAGGCTTTGCCATAATCACACTCATACATCTATTTCTTAGATGATGCTACTAAAATACTGTTTCAAAGTATGAAAATAAATATAAATAATTAATAGTACATAAATGAAAATAATTCTGTTAATTTAATAAGCTAATAAATTTTTAATTTCATTAAATCTGAATACTTTGAAATTATACAAAACAAAAGCAGGAGTGGAAAAAATATTCATTACATTTATTAACAAATCTACACCCTGCTTCTGGAAAATAATACAGAAATATTTGTTATGTGGTACTCCACTTGTGTAGAATCTTTAACCCACACCAGTATGATTCAATTGTTTGAGTATCAGTGCCATATGCACGACTGGCACATTTGAACATGCAGCAAAACAGTCGGGGAAAAAATTATTGACGCAGTAACCAGTTTTAGTGATGCTATTTAAAAAATAACTAAATAACTGAGAAAAATAGATTGCATACTGTATCACTGCCAGATTGTAATAAATGTAAATTCACTAACATCTGATAAAATTTGAAATGTTTATACAGATATAAAATATACTAAATTAAGCAATAACTAAAATATTTTTCACTTTAAAATTTCAGATAGTACTCAATGGATTAGTGAATTTATATGCCATACAAAAATATGATTAGGAGACTAAAACTATAAAAAGTGCACCTATTTTAATCAAAGTACCTACCCTTAACAAATTAATTAAATGAATGTTTCAGAATGCCAAATTCAGAATGCAAAGTTTCTCAAATTGATTGCAAAAACTGTTAATGCATACTGTTTTGTTGCAATATTACATTTTTTATGTATTTTGCATAATTTTTACTTTGTTTACTGTATAATCTTATGTAATTTGTAGTTTCATTACCTTGCGATTCTGTGCACACAGATGTTGGAATTATGAAAAAATATTAAGGAAATCTCAATCTCTAAAAGATAAAATTTCATCAACAAATAAGGATTTCTCATTGACCTGACAACATCTTGAAAGTTCTCAGAAAACATATACATTAGTACCTCCCATAAGAGACACCTTTGTTAGTCCCAGTCCTTTTGAAAAGGGACCTTAATGTATTTACCTTTTACTAAGGGACACTGAAAAAAAGTTTAAAAAATAAGACAGAAGTAGAGGAATAATGCTCTTTGTAAGCAATCTTTTGAGACTTCAAGTTAGTGATCAGTGAATGATACACAAGGGAACAATGAAGTGAAAGTCTAAGACTACAGAACTTCAAAGCATCAAATGGCTGGTTAGAAAAATTTAAGCAAAGACATTACTTTTAAGACTGTTTGTGGTGAAGAAAAATCAGTAGATTATGCAACACGTAACAGACTAATAAAAAAAGCTAAATGGAATTTGTAAAGGATATGAGGTTAAAAACATCTACAGTGCATATGAAAATGGGTTATTTTAGAATTTTACATAATAAGATTATGCTTCAAATGAGAAAAGTGATCTGGTGGTAAAAGCTTCAAGGGATGTCTCACTGTGCCACTTTGTTGTAACATGCAAGGAGAGCGTGAGCAACAACTTGTAACTGGAAAAGCCAAAAATCCAAGATGATTCAAATGCATCAATCCAAAAGCTTTATCGATCCATTCCCACCACAGTAAAAAGTCGTAGACAATGCAAAGCATAATGTGAAAGTAATTGATTGCTTTTGATGACACAATGTTTAGAAAAAAATAGGAACATTCTCCTTTTTCTTGACCATTCGCCAGCCTACCCAGAAGTTAGTGCTTTTCCCACTTAATGCAACATCAGTATTGCAGCCTTTGGATCAAAGCATAATTAAAAGCTTCAAGATTGATTACAGGAAACAGTTTTTATGGCATGTTATTTGTCAAGCTGCATGTGGAAAGAATGATCAACTTCCAAAATCTGTAGATGTATCAAATGCCATTCAGTGGATCACAAAGGCTAAAATCTGTACCACAAAGTTGTGTTCAGCACTGATTTTAGGAAGCAGGTTTTTATATTCCACTTTCAAGTGCCCTTAGTGAAAACACTACTGATCAAAATGAATTGCTTGAACTTGGTCAAAATCAATGACAGTGCTCAAATACATGAATATTTCGAAATCAATGAAAACTTGTGTACTGAAGATCAAGAACGAAATAAAATATTTTATTTCAACTGTAGTTGATAATGTGAGCTTTAATAAATATAACTTGAAAAGTTATATATTGAAATAAAGCAGTGAGGAAGATAAAGAGCCAGATATAAAATGTGGCACAAAAAAACTATACAGATGGTTTAAAATACACCTAATTAGAAAAAAAATCATCATAACTGATGACATCATCATAACTGGTGACATGAAGGACTTAATATTATCAGTGACTTTAAAATCCACATGGAAAAAATTGTTTGCAATGCACAGACTTTCAAGAAAACCGGTGTAATGGATTATTTTCACTAAATTTCTGTAATTACAACTCTATTGTTTACTTTCCCCATTTTTGCAATAATTAAACTTTTTTAATAAATAGTTTTCATTAACTTCAAATAAAATCTTGTGACTATGTTACCTATTTATATATTATTTATTTAAAGCTTGATACAACCTGAATTTCTGATGAAATTACATTTTTTAATAGGCACCCTCTGAATAAGGGACAAAAAGATAAAATGTCTGGTGATCCACTGAGTGTCCTTTATTGGGAAGTACTGTATTTTCAAAATTACAAGATTGATATTTCTAGAATATTCAGTAATGTGTTCTTCCTTCACCTTCTTTAACCCTTTGAGTGTTAAGAGTTTGGCCTTGAGATCCTGAAGTTTTCCAAAATACTGTGAATAAGTGATACTTGTTATAACTTCAAAATGATTCTCTCACATTATATCTCGATTCTTTTGCTTCCAATATACATCCAAACCAAAACCGAATTTATCAGGAGCTGACGGAAATTTCTGGCTGGAACAAATTGGAAGCCATTATACTATACGGAATTTTACATCCATAACCCATTGAAGGGTTAATACTGTCGCTATAAGAGGCCAAGAAATGGTTGAGAATTACAACAACATGCTTCGAGCATGGTGCACACAATGATTTTAACTTTTACTCCATCAGCAATTTAGGAATCATGTTGCATGCTTATAACCTTTATGTTCTGAAGTTATAAATTTTAGACTACACTTTTAAAACAAAAATTGCAAAATTCATTCTTGCATTAAAAAGAATTACAGGATTGTTTTTAATTTTTTAGGAGTTATTTTGCTTTATCTGTAAAAACAGAAAAATACTTTTATTAATTGAAACTGCAATAAAAATTTCAAGTTTTCTCTTCAACTGGTACGTTTATTTAGCTCTTTAAAATACCACTTACAATAATGTGAAAGTGTCAAAAGATAACATTAACTATGTAAATTAAAATTCCACTAAGGAAATGAAACAAACTTTCACAAAGCTACGTAATTTTAAAATGTAAATTATGCAGCTTTGCTTGGAAAACATTGAGCTAAATAAAATAGATATAATGAACTTACATCATGAGTATACCCTAAGAAAACGTTCTCTTGGACAGGTCTTATTTACTCTCAAAGCCACTGCTGTTCAAGGCCAACTTGACTCATGTGAATATCTCTTGCTGGTACATTTTCATAACCTCCAGCTAGACGAGGATACTATAAAGAAATAATTAAATACACATTTTTTAAATGATATAAACTTGGGTTAAAATTGAAAAGGTCGAACAAAAACAATAACAAAAAAAAAAGTCTTTACATTGTTTGATCCATCAGACCACTGACCAAAATTTTCCATTTCATCTATTAAATGCTTGCAAAATATTAAAGTAATGACTGGGAACCAATAAACATCAGGACAAGGCTACCAAATAAAAGAAAAAATAATAAATAATGTAATATTTCATAGCAAAGTAATTACAGAGAAACCGTTCATGTGATTACTGTTCATAAATAATCACCTCTGTATGTGACCAGTTTTTCTTAAAACATAATGTTAACTGAATATCACCCACTTAAGGGATCACCTTAATTGAAAATTAAAACCTTCTGAAAGTCTAGATAACCATCTTAATGTTTCATTTCATTTATCTAAAATTCAAAACATAAATCTCTTTCCACATTTCTCAGTGCTGTATCAGGTACAGTAACATTATTAAGTAGTAATGTTATATAATATAAATTTTAAATAAATATTATAATTAATATAAATTTAGTTTTAAACTATTATTTCTCATGCATATTTAAATGAATTAGAAATACATCAAACTATTAACTTCTAAGTGATCACACTATTTTGGGTGGGTGGAAAGAGTCTGAAATAAAAATATACAACTGAAAGTTTGCAATACAATTTAGGAAAATACGTGTTACCTTTTCACACAGGTCACATGAAAAGGTTTCATATGCAGCATTTTATCAATATTAGCTCTGATAAGTATAAAAATGTAAATTTCTGGGATAATCCATTGCATGCTTTGTAAGCAGCCCAATAATGTTTTCATGTAATTGCTCAAATTACTTTTCAATATATTCTGTAATGAAGAAATTGATGAAAAAAAAATCCAACTGAATTCTTGATTCTCATTCATGCTGATATTCATGCTTTTATGATAAAGATACCTCAACAGAAAAATTTACTGAATAACTACAACACATACACTACTCAAAAACCAATATTACTATTGAAATATTAGATTGTAGCAAGTGAAATGGCTGCTGAATGATGTCACATGCTGATGATGTCTATGTCCTGATTGATGGTTGCAGAAGAAACGTTTTTAGAAAAGTTCTCTCATAGCTGGTGCAATAGAAGTATTTATTTGGATGCAAACACATAGTTGATGCAAAAGAAGTATTTATTTGGAAGCAAACACATAGTTGATGAAAAAGAAGTATTTATTTCTATATTACCAACATCAAATCAAATCACAGAACCCATCCAGTTATGGTTGTCACACTTTATTTGTTCAAACTGGGAAATTCTGCAGTGACTGCAGTAAAAAACATCAATAAAAAATTCAGTGGAGGAACAACTATTAGCAGTTCCTCATGCTATTGGTTTACAAACTTTCACTCAGGAGATGTGAGAATACAAAAATGTATATGTGGCCATCATCCTTCCTTTATTTATTCAAATTAATTACACGATTTAATCAAACTAACATGATAAACTGTATAAGAGATCACTCAGACACTAAATGTACAATTTTCAACTGTTTCATGGCACTTGGCAATAACTGGAAATGTAAGGAAACAATTGGTTATTTCACAAACTCATTAAAAAAACAAAGGAAGATGTTTTGAATTATTCTCTTCTCTCTTAAAAAGTAAGAAAGGATCTTACAATTAACTACAACTGTGAATAAGAAGTAAATTTGGACATGAAATGGCTTCCATCATCTTAATGAAGTATGCTTAGACTTTTAAGACAAGCAAATGAGTAAATTTGAGTTCTGTATAGAAAAACTTGTTTCCTTTTATACTGCTCACATGTCATGTAATTGATGCTCAAGATATGTATTGCTAATTACTTACATATCTTACCGTTCTATATATATCATGTAATTTCAGTTCTGACAAATCTTTTCTTAATGGTGTTTTAATTAAAACAGTCATTAGTGTAATTTCTTAGGTACAATCAGAGGCACCCACACTACTTCCGTAAACTAATAGTAAAGCAATGAAATTAGAATAAGTTTTTAAAAATATGTATTTAAAAGAGGAATGAATTTTGATAACTTTTTCAGTTCCTATAAAGCAATATTCACTATTTTGGTGGGGATATACATTACGCTTTATTGAAAGAAATTCATGAAGTTCCATCTTTACATGCAAAATTTGCATAGATATTCATATCTGCCAACTTAATCACTTTCCATAAACTTACCTGTCTGCTTTCTTTTTGCAAAAGGGATTAAACTAAAAAAATTGGAAAAAAAAAAAACCTTTTGAAGATTAATTGTTTAGAACTGGTTCAAACAGTCGTCATTGTTAAACTCTCAGTGACCCAACAAAAATACTAAATAGTCTTATTATGGCTTATTTTTGCAAAATTTGCACATAAAAGGCCAAGAACAATTTGAATTTTACTCATTAAAACATTAAAGTAATCAGTATTTTTACTTAAAAAGAATCATATAAAAATCTGATTTTACACTTATTAAATAAATCCTCTTACTACAAGCACAGAGACTATTCCCATAAATCCTATGTTCTATTTAAAATAAATACCATGTGAAGATTTTCAAACATGTTGACCATTATTTACCATGCAAATGAATATATGCAGAATAAATTAGGTAAAGCCAAAAATAAACATACATCATGGTCAACTCATAATTGAGCAGTGTTCTGTGATACTTATAATACTATGATCATCGCTTGGTTAAAAATAATTTCTGTTTTAATAAGGTTTTCCAGAGTCATTCTTTGAGGTAAGTTTTAGCTGCAATGCATAATAACCAAATGATAAACTTCTCAATAAAATTTTGTCTCATTGACAAGAACAATAAAAGCTTCTTATATTGTTCTATTATGTTCTAAATGTTCTTACAATGTTATGATTATCACCTGGTTAAAAAATAACTATTGTTTTAGCAAGGTTTTTTGAAGTCAAACTTACTCTTCAAAGTACGTTTTATCTGTGATAACTAAATGGCCAATTAATAAAGTTCTTAGCAGAACAATAAAATCTTCAGTTCTTCAAGAACAATAAAATCTTCAGTTAAGATCATGACTGCAACCATTATAGATTTTATTTACGGCATGCTACAAACATAACTAATAATGATACCTCACACTCTAAATATAAATATTAAGTTTTCATATGAAATGTATAATGTGTATGCTATTTCAGTGGTAGCTATATAAATCAGTAAAATCAAGAAAACATTTCCTCTCATAATTCTTAAACTTATACTCTCAAGGACTGTCAAGAAAAATCATAAGATATGTATGCCTAAAGAAGATTGAATATTAGATCAACCAAAACAAAAGATAGCAAATTATTAATATCATAAATATTTACTTAAATATCAAAATATACAGAGAAAGAAATAACATATCTATAATAAAGAACATGGCAATATATCTGCATACCATATCTACTTCATAACTGGGATCCAGTACTTTTGAATAGTTTTCATGGACATATCGATCGATGTTCCCAATCCTAATTTTTTAAAAAAATATATAATAAAATAAGTAAATGAAATAAATAATCTGAATAAATATTAAAATATCTATGAAGTGAGAAAAATTATCCTTACTTTCAACATGCTACACTTACCACTTGATTGGTGTATATTTCATAGAGTTCATTGTGAACATGGCTAGCATCAAAACGATTCACTATTAATAAGATGCCCAAAAATCATTAAGGTCAGAAAACATACAGGAAAATAAACCTGAAATAAATAAAAAAAAAAAAAAAACCTTTATTTCTAGAACAGTTTTTAAAAATTCTTAATAGCAACAGTGTAAAAATTAACTTTTCAAATCTCAGCAAAAATATACACATTTCTAAACAATTTCTGATATATCAAAAGAATATTGTAAAAAAAATTTAATTGTCGCTTTAAAAGTGAGAAAAGCAGAAATTTTAACTACCCTGAAAATTATGTACCTATATTTTAAAATTCAAGTGCATCAAAAGCAAACAGAATAACTGTTAATGTGATATGAATTAAGATTAATGTATTGGATTAACAGATGCTATTCATATTTTATAAAAATATTTTCATTGTAAAATAAGCTCCGATACTCCTTTTAGATCTGTATCTATACCTGACCATTCAGTAATTACAAAAATTCAATGCAAAATTCCAATGCTTTAAAATTCATTGCAAATATTTTACAAACCATTATTTCTAAAAACTGTCTCATTAGGTTAGATTTTTATAACTAATAACAATGAAAAAATTTAATTTATCCTGAATAATAAGTTTACAAAATATATCCGAAAAGATAAAAAAAATTATTCTCTTTCTAATAATTTACATAATTTGTTTTCATTAATAACTCATTGCACAAAACACAAATAATGCGCAGCATACTGATACAATTTCTCAAAAGTTTATAGAGAGTACAAAAATACACAGACTCTCAACAAAGAGACTCTCAACTTTAAATGCTTCAACAAATATCATTTTATGAAATATAGAGCTCATACTGCACCAAAGCATAGCAGAACCCTGAATAAGAAGGCCCTCAGACTTCTTTTAAGTAATTGATTCATAATTTCAAGAGAAAATTCTTTTGTTCTCAAAACTCTTATTTTAATAATTAATAAGTCTTAAAAATTGATTTTAACTTCTAAATGAAACCCTTTAACAGAGGCTGAGACTTTTAAGGAAAGGAAAAACTACCATCCACATGTCAAAATTTTATTCTCCAGGAAAGGCAATGAATTTCTGATAGTGGGTAAATTTTTCCTTTCTGAAAGTACATATCTAGTGCTAGTGACTTTTCATAGAAAACAACACTCACATACTTTTTGGAACAATATAACCAAATACAGAGAATGAAAATCCTCACTTGAAAAAAACATTACATTTGTTCTCAGCTTATATATCAATCCTCAGATTTGGAGGAAATTTTCCCTGACCCATTCCGCCTGACAGTTTGAATTGCATCTGCAGGGAATCAATGTTAGAAAATGTTCAACTCTTCTCCTTCTGTTTTCATACCTTTAGATCTCCATTAAAATTACCTTCTAGACTATCATACTCTTTCCAGTATTCTCTTTATTCTCATTAGTGATGCTTTAACTATTAAATCTCTTTTCATTGGTGTGCTGGAAAATAATGTATTAAATTTTTATTTATTTCTTTGCATTTTAATGAATTTAAATTTTTACTATTTAATTAATCTAATTGTTAATTATTTTATGTATTTTTGTTTCTCTTTTTTAAGGGTCTTCATTACGGTTCTATTTATTTTAGAAAGTAAGTCCTCATTAAATCTGTTAAAGATCTTCCATCAAACTGGAGCAAAACTAGAGCTATCGACAAGCTCATGCTTCACAATATCTTTAAAATCAGAAAAGCAACATCTTAATGGCTATTCTTGAAAGTAGATAAACCAAACTCTAAGGTAGTTTAACTAACGGTGAAGAAAAGATAACAAGTAAAGATGACACATTATTCAGATTCCAGATCATAAAATGGAAAAGTAATTTGTAGGAGTTCCAGTTTTACAGAACTCGTAACATACTTAAAGCACGTGAAACAGTTTAATTATTTATTTATTCTGATATATGAAGTATAAATGAGAATCTCGAAATTAGTGATTCTTTTTTATAAATTAGAAAAAAAAGATACATACAAAAAATTTACTACAAAATAAAATTACCTTATCTCGCAAATTTTTTTCAGAAAGCCATATCAGGATCAAGCAGTCCATGAATAAATGAAGGATAATTTACTCATGGACTTCAGTATTCAGTATCTTTGAGAAGAGATCCACGAACCAAATATGCATGATTGATATATGGAACATTCCACACACCCCTGATAAAATAAAAAGTTATTGTTACACACAGCAGATCTGACAATACATATAATCATATAATAATTAGTAGTTAAACATTTACAAACATAGGGCAACAAGGATATAAGTTTCCTTAAATACATCCTCCCTTAGCAAAGAAAAAACTTAGCAGATCATGAGAGTTCCAAGATTGCTGTTTTGGAGTTATCAAATATGAACCAGTAGGCATGAAATTCAGATTAAAGACTGAATGTACTAAAATTTTATGCTTGGCCAAATCTCCAAGTATTTAAAAAAAACTTAATAAACAATAATAACCCTCTACAAATATTTATTGAAGCATGAAATACTCCAATGAAACAACATACTAAGTAAGTTGCTGTGTTGACCTGCTTATAAATTCTGCATTATACAACAGATGAATCATGCACGATCCATGGATGTGTTTCATTGGGACTCTCAGATACTCACAGAGCTGAAGGGATTAAATATTGGTGGTAAAATCAGTGGCATAAATCTTTATCCATCTTTCTTGCAATGAAAGGCTGCTGGCATGTTGTTGCCACTTATTGGAATATTGCCTCACCACCACAGAACTCAGAGAAAAAAAAAAATGACATATCAAACTCAGATCACTCTAGTTTTCTTTGATATTTGTTATTTAAAATCCATCATTGTTAGCAAAGGTACAAATTTATTTTAATTACATTTTGCTTATGAAACTCATGATAGCTTTAAAAAATTAATTTAAAAATAAATAAAAAGAATTTTTTAAAACTTTTTAGTATATTTCATTGAAACTGTATTAACCCTAAATAGTTCTTTTATAATTTTTGATCAATGAAACAGAAGGGGAATAATAAAGAACAGAAATCCTTGCCTCTGAATACAATAAAATTATTCCTTCTAATTAGCATAGCAATGCTGTATCTTTCTTTCAAAATCAGATCTCTTCAGTCATGCAAGATTTCATACAAATTTCTGTTTAAAATTAATCTTTCCAATGCTGCAAACATACACGCAAATGGATTTCTAATTAATCTCTTAACATAATCAACTAAACACACCAAAATTCCATCAACTACATTAAGACATTATGAAAGCATTTCATTTAGAAAATGGTTTTTTCATCTATCCAACAGTGCAAATACCAACTCTATGAGGATTAATCATTAAATTACTAAGCAAACATATGTATTAAAAAAAAACTGAATAATTAAAAATCTTAGTTTTGGAAAAAAAAATCATTGCATTGTGCAATTCAGACCGCAAAAATGTTATAGTATGAGAAAAACGTAGTTTATACAATCACACTATTATATGAGAAAATGTATTTCAAGTTATGAAACCACACAAAGAAAAATTATGCTAAATAAATTTTTTTTTTTTTTTTTTTCTCTGTTTCAGTTAAATGTAATAGTATAAAATATGTGTTCTGACCAAAGTTCTTTAATATTAAAGGTTAAGCCAGAAACGGAAAAAGCGTGCCATTGGTTGCTGGTAGTGACGTCACCCGGGTGACAAGACACATGGGTCGGCGCGTCTGCTACATGATTTTGGTAATAGAAAAAATGTAAACTAAAGCAAAATGATCATTTTATATGTGGTAGTTATAATAACATACCGGAAATACCGGGCATATTACTTTCTGGTTAAGCATTTTGTTGTCCTTTCCTAGTGGACGGTGGACTTTAAAATTAGTTTTTTAAGTTTTTGTATTTTCAGTAAGAAATTTTATAGATATACGTATTATATATAGCATCAGTTTATAAAATATGTTCAAAATTTTTATTTATTTTAAATTAAAAAATTTTTAAACAAATAATTAATTATTTTAATTAAAGATTTAAAATGCTCCTTGCACGCTAATTTTCTATATTCTTTCCTAATTTGTCCTTTAAGTTTGTCATAAAGACTTGACAAAGGTTTTTGCATATCCGTTATTGAATATGATGGATCAGAACTTTTTAAAAAGGATTTTTGTGAACTTAAACCCAGTTTTCGGAAAAATATCTCCTTTTGTTGAACATTATCACAAGTTTAAACTTCTTAATAACCTCATATCCCAAAACGCATTTACAGATATATTGTAATATATATCATGTTTCATCAAAATATCATTCATTTTTAACTAAAAATGAGACGCATACAGCATTTTCAAGACATACAAACTGCGAAAATTTTTGTTTTGAGAAAACCGAGTTTAAAGTTTTTCTTCAAACTTTCCTTTAATACATGATCATGAGAAACAGCAAATTAACTTTAAATATGAATATGTAGACACTAGATAACATTTTCGTATCATTTAACTATTTTTAATCTCATAATATTAATATGAGAAAAATAAACATATGGCAAATTCGTTCGTGTTTCGAAGTTTGAGAACTGGATTGGATTATTTAATTACGGCAAAGCATACATGGGCTATCTGCCTAAAGGGAGGGATGCCTTCGTGGAGGACTTTCTAAGCGAAGTTTGAGGTAGAAACAATTTATGCATTATATCCAATGAAACTTTTAAAATTCACTCGTATCATATGTTTCACCTTCATTTGTTAGATTTACATTATCTTTTAATGTTTTACAATATTTTTTACTATTTCTTTTCTTTTTTTTTTTTCCCCCCAAGCAGGTAAACTTTTTTTTTTTTTTGCTTTGGTTCAAGCGACGTTGATCACGCTTTT